CAGAGAAAGATAAATACCATATGATTTCACTTATATGCGGAATCTAAGGAACAAAAAGAACTAATCAAAAACAGACTCACGAATATAGTGGATGGACAATTTGGTGATGGACAGAGGGGAGGGGGGTTAGGGGGCTGGGAGAATGGGGTGAAGGGTTAAAGAAGTACAAATTAGTAGTTCATAGCTGGCCATGGGGATGGGGAGCACAGCATAAGGAATGCAGTTAGCATTAATATGTTAGCTAGGTGGAGGGCCAGGGGAGGGAGGGCGCAATTGAGGGGGTCATTTTATGAACTATATAGATGTCTAACCAATGTACTGTATACTTGAAACTAATTAAAATAAATAAATTTTAAATGAAAAAAAAAAGTTAATATTACAGAAGTAATAAACAGCCGAAAGAAGGAATTGGGGACTGTTTTAGATTAAGACCAGAGACATAACACAAATGCACAAAAGATTTTCTGGATCCTGGGCTGAAATTAACAACAAAAACCAGCTATAAAAAAAAAACATTTTGGGAGAACTGAGAAAATCTGAATATGAACTGGATATTATGTAATTATTGTTAATTTCCTCAGATGTGATAATGGTATTGTGTCAGAAAGGTGAAAATCCTTGTACTTAGTCAATGCACCCTGAAGTATTTAGTGGTGAAGTCAGGACAGTCTGCAACTAAATCTCAAACAGTTCAGCAAGGGAAAGTGTATGTGGGAAAGACGCAGAGCAAATGTGGCAACACACTGAGAATTGGTTGAATCTCAGTGGAGGGTATACGAGCACTCATTTATTATTTCAACTTTTCTGTATATTTGAAAATTTTCAAAAAAAGTTGAGAAGAGGAAAAAAATACAGACATGATTATTCTAATTTTGTGTGCAGTCGGAAAGGGGTATAGAGCATATAAACATAGAAAAAGACTGGAAGAAAATAAACCCAACTATTAATAGTGCTTTTTCACCTTGGTGGGCTCACAGGTGATTTATTTTCCTTTCTAATTTTCATATTTTAAAAAATGCTCTGTAGTGGGTATGTATCACTTTTATCATCAGAAGCAATTTAAACGTGTCTTTTACAAATTTAAATAAACGGGCTTTAAAAAAGTCATGTAAGCAGGCCTCCTCCCTGTCAGCCTGTGGCATGCTCAGGGTGGAGTCTGCACAACAGCAGGGTGGACGAAAGTGTCTTTCCAATTACCATTTTCGACCAGAACACCTCATAACGAGGAGGCTTGGTGACTCGCTTACTTGGTGCTGGGTCCTATTCTCCATATGCCCCAGCTTAGTATTCATTTTATCCTGAACCGATCCCAGCTCTGCTTTGATCTCCTCCACGGTAGCCTCCAACTGATTCTCCAGTTTGTTGATTAGGGGTTCACATCGACAACCATTTATTGGGGCCTAAGAGGGAAACAAAAGAGGAATTAATCCCATTCATTTGTTCCTTCAACAGATCGGTTTTGAGTACCCATCATGTGCCAGTCGGTACAGCGGTGGGTACAGATGATGGAGAGAGACTCAGCCCTGTCATAAACTGTGGAATGTTTCATAGGCTGAGTGTTGGGCCCAGTGGGTACTAGGAAGATTCTCAATGCTCAGGCTGCTTTTACCCACTCTGGGCCTCGAGATGTCACCTAAGAACAGTGACCCTTCTGTTTGCCTGGGCCTGAGTGACAGCAGTGTATCTGCACTGTGTAGGCAGGGTGGGCCATCTGGTTTCTCTTCAAAGCTCATGCCTTAAGCCAATGCCTAAAGTAGAGATTAGCCCCCAGAAAGTGTTAAACAGACGATCCTGCTTCAGGACTACGGCATTGTGTCCTGACAGGGCTCGGCAGGTACCTGCATCACTTTCCCATCCTTGCCCCGGTACAGTGTGTACAGCTGGTACGCTCTGAACTCGTGGGGAGGGGGTGGAGATGAACATCGATGCCTGGGCCTCTTTTTAGGGTGAGTATGAGTATGCAAGTTCTTCTGGTGTCCAGGCTGTTGGTCTGCAGGTGGGGTGGGATCAGAAAATGCTGACACCTGTGGTAGAGGAAGAGACAACACCCCTGAGCCCTGTGACACCTGCAAGAGTAATACCCAGCCAATGGCTCCATCTCACTCACTTTTGGGCAAAGATCTCACCTTGCTTCATCTCATAGCATTCTACTCTAAGCACCATATGTCCAAATAAATATACCAGCACGCTAACCTTGAGTCTGAAGTTAACCAGATTTAATTTCTGTGCTCTGGCTCCAAACCAGCCAGCCAAGTGAAGCGACTTTTTCGCTCTTGGGCATGACGCTATCCCAGGGCCCTATGCCAACCGGCCTCCCAGCCCTCTCTTGGCTGCTTTCACGTGCCTCCTGACCTTGGGCCTTGACTTTCTCCGCCTGTCGTCCTTTGCCTGGGGCTCTGGGGAGGCGGACAGGAAATCTTCTCTGGCCTCTTCTTTTCTGGGTGCAGCCTGTTCACTGCTAGGGGTGTCTCCTGCAGAGACACTTCCCTACAGAGGAAAAAAGCCCAGAAACCTGTTCTACTTGCCCCCTCGGCCTTTTTTACTAATGGTGTAAAAAAATTGTTTGCAAGACTCCAACTATTACAGGACCCATGGGAATTTTTGCCAATGACAAATTTCAGACATAAGGGGCACTGCCTGGTGGTCTTAACTAAACATATATGCTTCTCCTAGTCGGTCGAGTATTTGGCTTTTACTTTATTAGGTGCCAAATTAAATATCTTAGGTCTAATTCTATGTGAACTTCAAGAAACTACCACACACAGAACACCTTAGCATTAGAGATTTCTGGTCTTCTGTATTTCAGCGAAAAACCAGCCCACTGGTTTAGAACTTGGACTCTCACAAGTCATAGTGGAGAAAACCCTCCGACGGGAAAAAAACTTGTTTCTGGTCCTTGTGAGAACTTTTATAAATTAATATGTACAATTCACACACAGAAACATAATCAGAGTTACAATGCCTTAACCTTGAAAATGGATAAGAGGATATTGAAATAGCAGACAGAAGAATAAGTACTTGGTATAAAATTTTATGTGTCCAAAGGTACCTCTCTATCCTAGTCTCCTTCTCCTAGGAGAGCCGAAAAGGAATGGTTCATTCCAGGGCTGCTTGTTTATAGCTGTACAAGCTGTTTATTGCACAAGGGCGCTTGGCCGAGAGGGTGAGTGGGGCAGAGGGAGCTGAAATCCAGCTCGGGCTCTATACACCATACGTGCCCTGTGCTGGGCTTGTCTGCCTAGGGGGCATCTTTTCCTAATCTGCACAAAGGAGTCACATGGGCTCGCACAGCCTCAGTCCATTCCCTAAGCAGAAATAGTGGAAGCAACCTATGCCAGTGGTTCTCAAACTTTATAGTCCACATCAGAATCACCTGGTTCAATCACTGATTACTGGGCCCCATCCCAGTTTCTCATCCGGTGGATCCGAGGTGAGACCCAAATTTCTGCATTTCTAATGAGGTCCCAGGTGAGAGTGTTGGACACCACACTTTGAAAACTATTGCTCTACACAATGAACGGCACGGTGTCAGAGAGGCTGTGCTGTCCACTTGGTAACGACAAGGCCATTGATACACGGGGCTAGCAACTACACCCACACAAGCGTGCTGGGAAAGACGGGCAACACACACACAGGCACACGGTCTGAAATCTGGGAGGGGTGGAGGGGTGGAGGACGTGAAGCTCAAGGGGAAAGGCTGACAATAGTTTGAAGAACCCCATGGAAAGAAGAGACAGAGGAGGGCACGGCAGTCACCAGATGGACCCCGAGGAAGCCGGGAGATAGTTTTCCACCCTCTGGTGGGCGGAGTAGGGGAGGGGCAGGAGGGCTACCCCCCACCTTGCTTTGTGCCACCTCATCTCTTGGCACAGACTGAGCTCTCCTCTCTTCCTTGAGCCTCTCTCTCTTTTTCCTCAGGCTCCGTCCACGACTGAAGCGCAAGACCTGAAGGAGGCAAGAGGCATTGTTATAAATGGGTGTGCAGCAGTGGCGTGAGAGAATTCTCCTTGGTCTTGGGGCTCTGACCTAAAGGAACGTCCAGCCTAGTGAGAGAGATTGAGCATTCACATCAAACAAGCATCTCAGACCACCTGCTATGCTTCCTAGGTCTTGTGCTGGGCATGTCAGGGGCTTGGAGGTGGTAGGACATTGTCCCTGACTTTAAGGAACTTACAGTCTATGACAATAACAACAGGCATTTATGTGCCTGGCTGGAACTGCCACATAGCGTGTGCAGGCTGTGCACAGCTTAGCTCCAGGGAGTACCACTCACATAGACAAGGACATGAATGGCGTCCCCTGGAGCTGTGCAATGCAGCAGCCCTGTGCCAGGTGCAGTCTCACTATTTTGTTACACTCGACCCAAAGTAGCCCATCAGATTTTCTCTCAGCCAAACCATATTCAAGTTGTAACCAATTTAATTAAAAATGACTGAAATGTATCTATGATCCATGGTACCAACCACAGGGCAGGAATCTCTTCCCCTAAAGGAAGCATTTGGTCTGCCCCTTAGAGCAGAGGAAAAATAGACACAGCCAAGTGCACGTGGGGTCCTGTGAACCCGAGAAGGAAACCAGCAGCTAGCTGTAGGATCTTTGGGCAAGTTATCTGACACCTGTGCTCTGTCTTCTCAAATGTGAACACGAAGTTGTTGGGATTAACCAAGACCAAGTAGACAGTTCGCACACCTTGGACCCTCAGTCATTGTCAGGTGCCTCCCACCCACCTCAGTGCCTCAGAGCTGCTTAACAGCAAAGGACGTTCAACCACAGAGCATGGATCTTTGAACTGATGGACACCTTCACTGGCCCACCTCCACACCCTTCCCCCAGCCCCCTACTCCCACTTCCAGGGTTCACCCCTTTCACCGAGGTCCAGAAGGTGAAAACACTTTTCAAGGTCACACTATCTTTCTTCAGTAACACATTTTATTATCATCTTATATAAATAGATTAGGGCTCTCTTAAGTTCAGCATAGTATGTTTCATCTTAGTTTCAGATTTCTTCTCATGTTTATTATATTCAAGTGACACCATTATGGCAAAAAAGAACCTCTACGAGCAGTGGGTATCACCTAAATGGAAAAATCTCTGGCAAGACCTGCCTGCAAATGAACCTGACTTTAAAACCCTATTCTCATCCCCTAAGCCAGCAGTTCTGAAAGTGTCTAGGGACCCCATGTCCATGAGGTTAAAAGTATTTTCATAATATTAAGATAATGTGGGCCTTGTTCACTGTTGTTCTCTTAGAAGTGCACAGTGGCATTTTCCGGAAGCTGCATACATGACATTGCAATAGATGGCATGCGAAAATAGATGAGAATTCTGCAAAAATGCAAAACAATGCTACTCTTCTCAATTTTTGTTTTGAGAAATACTTTTTTCACAAAACAATGTTATTTCTATTAAATACAAGCTAGACTTACTTTTAAATGGATAAAAAAACATCTTTAACTTTCTCAACTTGAATTTCAAATATGGTAACTATTGATGGAAAAAACTCACAAACGAAAAGCTCTCTGTAGGCCTCCAAAATATTTAAAAATGTAAAAGGGTCCTTAAACCAAAAACGTCTAGGAATCACTGCACTGAGCCATTTCTAAAACTAAATTTAGACGTATCAGAAGTTGAGTCTCATGAAAAGAAGCAACTAGTGCCCGTCACTCATCTGGTTTACTGACTCTTAGAACAGCAGACAACACCAGAATCAGCATGAGACTGACTTTCAGAAGCACTTGTGAACTACGTTAGTCAAAAACAATATGTGACACTCAGAGGTCACCCAAACCCCAAATCATCAGAAAACTTCCCTCCACAGACCATGTTATTAGCCAGCGAAAAGAACTTTGCATGGCTTACAGCCTCTCAGCAAACCATACATCTACCAAATGAAATGTCATCCATCTTCTCCAGTTCACAGAAATCAGGGAATATTGATCTTAAACCTTGGAAAGAAATATCCTGAGATATTTCTTTGTGCTGTAAACCACTGAACTCCATGGTCAATCAAGGTGCCAAGGCAAAGGGATTTCTCATTTCAGACAAAACAAACAGTAAAGCTATTTCTGTAACTACAGAACAACAGGCATATAATTGTATGCATATTCCAAAGTTCTTCTTTGTGTTAAGAATAAGGCTTAGCATATATAATTATATAAAATAAACTTCCATAAAATGTTATCTTATTTGCTATTCAATATGGGCATGGAAAAATTTGCTTAAGTCATTTTTTAAAGGAAACACTACAAGAGAATCGCATAGGAAAACTGCCCATGATAAAGCTTTTATTCTCTATGAATTAAGATCCTTGGACTCTGGAAGACAAATGACAGGTGGGTCAAAGGCCCATCAATCTTTGTGTGCCTGGGGGATCCTCCACCCCCTAAATCTTGATGACCTTCACATGGCTGAGCATGGGGCTGGTTTTCCATCAAGATGCCAAATGCTGAAATGCCAGATAACTGTGATAGATTCTGACGCTAAGAGAGCATCCCATACTCTTAAATGCATAAGAGACTAACATTTTTCTATCAGGATTCATGAATTGATTTCACTGATGGTTTCTTTGCAAATAAGTAGAGAGGTGGAGCCTTTCCCCAAAAGAGCATTGACTCACACCTGTTAGGGGTTCTACGAACTTCCAGAGACCACTGAGAAGGACCGACTCCACGAACAAGGGAGTGATCAATTTTGCAAACGAAAAAAATCTTAAACATTTCCTGAAACTGCTAGTTAGATCAGGCACGTTTTTAAAACTTAAATAAAGGCGATGCAGAACCCTGGGCTGGCTGAGATTGGGCTAGGAGGTAGCAGGCTGGTGTCTGAACATCCCTCTGGCTCCCTGACACTTTATCTTCTTTCAGCACTAGCCAGAATAAGGTGGAAAAGCAATCAGCGCTTGCTGTGATGTAACACAGAATAGCTCCAATAGGGAAATAACCTGAATGTCCCACATTAAGGAAATGGTTTAATAAAATGTCGGACAGCAATAAAAAAGACTACTATGCCTCCATTATGATGAATAATTGTGATGACTACAGAACATTTTCCTATTATAGTTAGAATAAAGGGCAGACAATACAAAAGAATGTATACATTGTAGGCACAATTACATAAAAATTATGAGACTGTGGGAGGTAATATGAAGAAACGAAAAGTTATTTCAGGGTGCTGAAATTATGACTAACTTATAAATTATCACTATTAAATTTCTTTATTACTTAGATCATTTCAACTTCAAATCAAATAATATCAGTCATCGTTTTTAAAAATTGAGTGATTACCAAAATACCACCATTGAATAAACAAGGAAAGAAAACTAGACTGTACTTAACTGCCTTTAAGTGGACATTTACTACTCTGTCTGCTCAGAATGGGCCCCTCCTCCTGCCTTTCTCTAGAAAATGCCCCTTGAGCACATGGTCAAATGGACGCAGCCATCTTCTTAAAGCCTCTGTCCCACTTGTTCAGGGCACTTGCCCCCAAGCTCTCCAGTCATAATCCTCTCCTGCGATGTTTTAAACTGAAACTTGTCCCTGGCTGAGTAGCTGGGGAGTTACGATCCAGGAAGCTGGCAGGGGACAGAATGATGCCTGTGTATGAAGAGCAGCCCGATAGGCCTGAAGTCTCTCTAGTTCTGGTTACCCAGAGGCCCGCGCAGGTGCCCACATTACCCACTGCCTGGTTAGTAAGCCCATCAGTTCCCTATTTCAGTTAACTCGAATTGGCTTCAGTACATTGCAACCAGAGTCCCAATGACTTTGCAACCCCACGTAAACAACACAGTAGAAAATGTAACAACTCCTACCTGGGGAGCTTTAGTGAGGAGAAGAGCAACTTCCGGATTATTGTGGTAGCGGGCAGTCTCCAGCGGAGTCTGTCCTGCCTAAGGAAAGGCACAAGGGAGGACAAGTGAGTACTGGCCACCAACTCTTCACACACATAGCCCAGCGGGGGCAGCAACTCTGCACATACTAAACAAAACACATATGATGCTGCCCTGCTCTTGAGCCTCATCCCAACAAGAGGGCCAAGTCACACCTGAGGACACAGCAAGAGAGGGTAAGTGCTAACAAGTGGGCAGTAAGTGCCCTAAGAGGCAAAGGTCTGGGGCACTGCCCAACAAGGAATGCTTCTAGAAAAGAGGTGAGGGAAGTCAAAAATCAGATGGGGTTGAGGTGGAAGACTTCAGCTGAGGAAACACAAAAGCTTATAAAATCCAGCCAAGCAATGAATTTTCCCTGGAGAACAGTGGAGAAGATACCTGGAAAGGAAGATGAGGACCCAGGCAGAGTCTCAGGAACTGGATTGTGAAAGACAATTAGGAAGCTATAGCCGTAATGGAGTCTCTAGAGAGATTAAGCCAAAAACCAAGAGTTGATAACAATGAGATTCAAAAGATGGGAAAGGTGTTCAAGGCATCATGGGAGAAGCACCAGGAGGTATCACCCAATACAGGTACTAGAATGTGAGGAGGAGGAAGGGGGAAACTACATACAGAAGCCTTCACCAGCTTCAACACCCCAACTCTCCTGACACGCACACACCTGTTCTGCCCCCAGCGAGTCTGTGCTATTTCAGGAGTGCAGAGACTACAAGCCAACCTTGAAGAAACAAAGGTACCTAAGCGGGTATCTGCTATAGGATCTGGGAGAGAAAGGGAGGTAGAGAAAAGGAGGAGGGTGAGGGAGAGAGATTGAGAGAGAAGGCAGGAGCGAGATTAAAGGTGCCTAAGCGGGTGTCTGCTATAGGATCTGGGAGAGAAAGACAGGGAGGTAGAGAAAAGGAGGAGGGTAAGGGAGAGAGATTGAGAGAGAAGGCAGGAGCGAGATAAGGAGATTTTGGAGAGAGGAGTTAATTTTTAGGATGATTAAGCTGATGGCCATGTGGCCAGTTTTTATTTTGTTTTGCTTTGTTTTTTTTAGGACTTGTCAGTTTAGATATCCCTGACCTTCCTTTCCACACCATGATGTGCTCATTTCAGCTAGAACTCTAAAGATGAGCCCTCATGGTCTGTCAACTCGTGGAGCTGCTAAGAGGAAGGGTCTACTCAAGTTCCCCTCTAGGGCTCCAGGGGCTATAGCTTTGCAGAACTCTGTGCTCTCTCGGAGTGAGGTTGGTGAGGCCCTCGGAGTCTGCAGGTGAGGTAGTAACTACAATCCCCATCCTGAAAAGGGGTGGGAAGGGCTTTAGAAACCATTGTTGTAACTCGACTTACATTATTAACAATGGTCCCATCCGCTCCAGCTTCCAGTAAGATTTTAACCACCTTCTTGTGATTTAGGGAAGCAGCAATATGAAGTGCTGTGTCTCCAGCCTGAAATTAATCAGAAGAAAGCCTGCTAAACCCCCTCTGATCATGGCCCACAGCCCTCCAGTTTTTTGTCCCACGACATGGTGGTGGCTTTTCCAAGCCAATCTAAGATTTGCTGTAGACCGATAGGAGGCTCATAGGATTAAGTGCGGGGACAAAGTAATGCTGGGCTGTGGTTGTTGAGAACAGTCAGAATGGAGCCTTACACTGAGGCAGGGTGATGGGCGGGGGCCGGCAGGCTAGCCATCTCGGAGCTCTGGACCACGTCCTGCTGCCCAGGCAAGGGAGAGGGCAGAGAACCCCTTGGTTTCTGAGGGCTGGAATGAACAAACACTGCAAGGAAGACTACTTCTACAAGCACCTGCGAGGACATGACGGGCCACAGGAATCATTCTGCAGGCTCAGGTGTCCTTTGTCGGGTGGAGTCACCGAGAATCTGTGTTCACTTAACACTGGCTGTTTTCAACCTCTTACCAAATAGCCTGTCAGTTTTCATATTTTCTTTATACAAAAAATGTTTTCAGACATTGAATCAACCATGAAAGGAGGATATGGACAAATGCAGCTCAGGGGGGCCCCATTCAGATTGCAAATGCTGGGTTTCTCCCCAAAAACAATGATATAAATAAGTCAGGCAAACACAGGAGAAGTGAAATAATTGTCTCCCATTGGGTTCTCAGGTAAAGCACCCTGACAGTTTCTCTCCTGGGCAGCATGAATATCCAGCCATCCCGGTGGCCCTCTTCGCCCAGTGAGTGTCGGGGAAAATGTTACTTTGTCGCTGAGTCACTTAGTTGTGTCTGTCGGGGGTGGGAAGCTGTGTAGCAGTGGTTCTCAGTCTTGGCTGCACATTGGAATCAGCTGGGGAGCTGTAAAAACTACTGCTGCCTGGGCCTTCCCCCAGACATTCCAATTTAATTGGTTGGGCAGAGTGATGTGTCACAGCTCCCAGGGGACTGAAAAATGTCTCCAGGGTGGAGAAGCACTGGTTCATGGGGGTTGTGTAGGGGCAATCTGACAAACTAGAGCCCTCTGAGAGGCTGCAGAATGACAGAATTGAGCTGTCTGGCGAGGTCAGTGGTTCTCAATCCCATCTGCACACTCGGGCCAGGAACTTCTTAAAAATCCCATTACCTGGATGTTCTGGTCATTTAAACTAGGATGAGATTGAGGAGAATGGTGTTTTTAATGCCCCTGCTGATTCTTACATGCAGCCAGAGTCAGAAACCACTGTCATAGGGTGTTTTTAATCTGAATAACCATCTATTTTTTAAATTTCAGATATATGCACCCAAACTCAGAAAAGCCAAATATATCACTTAGACATCAACTGCCAAGAAAACATTTTTAAAAATCTAAGTGGCTACTGAAAGTTAAACACATTTTCGTGGAACACTAATAATCACAGCTTTATTTCAAAACCCCATCATATGGCACAGAACCAGATCATGTTCTTGATTTTACAGAAACCAGCAACCATCAGCTCAAATAAAGTGGCAATGCAAGGAACAGAACTGGAGTTGAGAGACACCTCATTCCCTTGCTTATTTACTAAGCCACATTCTTGTGAATTTCCTTTGTAAAATCACATTAAAAACAAATCCCACCCCAGGATCTCCAGAAAATGCTCCATATGCAAATGTGGTGATATGCACTGGTATGATATGGGCAGGCTCTCTCTAAGAGGCCAGATAAACCAGGGCCACAGGAACTAAGTGGAAGGCCAGCACTGCCCAAGTCCCAGTCTGGGAGAGGCTCCCGGCAGCCTCTGCTCCCGTGTTTGCTAACACACCTGTCAGCCTTGTGGGAAGGGGGCCCGGCAGCCATGGGGAGGACACATGCACTGACCTGGTTCTTTTCATGGACAGAACAGAAAGCACTGAGGAGGAGCTTAATGATGGACAAGTGATTATAGCGCGCGGCAACGTGCAAACAGGTGTCGCCTGCCTGCGGACAGAAATCAAATTCTAAGCACAGTCTGAGCGGTTACAAAAAACAAAACAGAAAAAATAAAAGAAAATATCATTTAAAGCTGGCAGTCTAGCATATATTTAGAGCGTGTCTCTTTCACCATAGATGTTCCACATCCAGACTCACAGCCCTTTGCTGCTATCTGCAGCCCTGCCCATTTCCACCATGCGGATTCTCTGCTTTGAGTTTCATACACTGCATGCCGGCTCCCCACAAGACCTTCTCAAGAGCTAAGGAAGGCTCTGCTTACCTAGAACTGGATAAGGTTCCACTGACTCCAGCCTCTCCTTACAACCCAAAGGCTTTGGACTATACTGAATTAAGACCAAGAGCACTGCTTTGGCAATGAGCCTTCCCTTCATAATCTATCATGGGTGTAAGGCCAGGGCAGCAGGGCAAGCTGTTGAATTTTAAGATCTCATGTGTTCCTAAAAATTCAAGTTGCATCCCATTTCAGTTGGACCCCAGTATCCCACATGGAGTAATGTAGTCTGGGCAACTGATGAAGCAACGATCACAGGGCGTACAAGAGGGCACTCGGAAAAACTCCAGATCGGGATCCTCCTTAGTGGGCACAGGCCAAACTGCTCCCAGAGAGACAACAACAAAACTGGAGACTAAACTGTGACGTTTTGCTGCGCTCTCTTGATGTTTTTATCCTAGCTCTGTCAAAGATGGCAACGACTCAGCATAACCTCCCCTCCCAGATGAAGAAGCCAAGCTCAAAGCTGAGGTTCGGGGCACTGAGATTCACCTTAGATGAGTTTACCCCCAGTCAGGGAGACCGAACGAAGGCCATTTTTGAGGGAAGCCTCAGGCAGATTCTCTAGTTGAGTGGCTGAGGCGTGGGACTTAAGGAAACACAGCTTCTTGTGGAGAGAGGAGGGGCACACATGTGACTCTCAGGTGAGGTACCCTCTAAGAACTACTGACCCATCAGCTCATCTCAAATATGCCTCCACAGTAGATCTGTAGGCAGACCCTGGGCGTGAAGCATCAGAAGACCTCCCCTGCACGCATCATCCAGTGTCTGCTAACAGCACGATACTATACAGGCAGAGACCTTCTTAAGACATTTCAAGGTTTCCTAGATTCATTCATCAACACATGCTATAAGAAATGAACGAACAAACTGAAGTTGAGAAGCGAGGGGAAAAGGATGGGAGAAAAGCAGTGTTTCTGAGTCTTTGGATTCCTCTTCTCATGCCCCTAAATGGCCCCTTAGGAAATTAGCAAAAATGAATACTTTATAAAGAGTCCCCACTTTACACGTTTATTTTCTAGATGTTAACACACAAGTATGCTTTCAGAGTTATTTTCCAAGATTACACAAGAGAGCGCGAGAGAAGCCGGTTTTGTTCACCCACGTTATTTTTGAGGTCGGCTCGGGACCCGCCCAGCAGGAGGACGCGTGTGCTCTGGGAGTGGCTGTTCTGGCAGGCCAGGTGCAAGGCTGTGTTCCCTGCCTTGGAGAGATGCAAGAGAAGGGAGGACACATTAGCAACACGCTTCCCCGCAGACCTGCACCAGGCAAGCCTTGCAGAGGGGGTGATACTTAGAGAAAAAAAATCACAGGAAAAAAGTCACATTCTCTGCTTCCTGATTGGCACTCCCAGAAAAGGCTTTCAGTGTTAAGAACATTTAATTTGGAATACAAACAGGCAGAAGAGTTACATCTGTCCAAGTTCTGGCCCTGTCACTTACTAGTTGAAAGCCACTGGCCAAGGCTCTTGATATTCTCAGCCTTGAATTCCTTACTTGTAAAGTGGAGCCTGACCCCTATATGCTGAGGCTGTGAGGACTGACTCAGTAACTCGGAGAGCATTTTCTTAATGGTAAAACGCTGTGCACATATGTATGTTACGTTCCTCTCAGAGATGACTGCATCGTTCCTGCTCAACACAGATAAAAGCTGTGGCTACAATACTCTGCCAAAGGAGTAAAGGGGGCAAAACAGGCCACCTCCTATACGTGCAGGCTAAAGATACCTGAGAATATACTATGGCCTTTTTCAAATTGTCCATTCTTATATTTTTCTTGAAACAACAACATTTGAACTATGGACAAGGTCCCCACGTAACAGGCAATACAAGTGCATCTGTCACTTACCACAGAGTCCCTCTTGCTTTTGACTCTGCCTTTAATATGCCACATCAACATGACAACCAAAGGTCAGAATAATGTCCACAGTTATCTTGCAGAAAGAATTCATAAATAGAACTTGAGACTATAGGAATAAGGCCTGCAAGGCTACTGCTAATCCCCAGAAAAGTAACAAGAATAGCAGGCAGCATGAGAGGAGATTTGGGGTTGGTCTGAGAGAGTCTGTGAGCACTCAGGAGATTAAAGACATAAATAATGTTTGTTCTGCTGAGCTTACAAGCTGGGTCAGGACTGGAGTTGCATGAGCTCTGAGCTATCACACTGCCTGCTGTGACTTTCCCCTCACCTAATTTACGCCTTCGGGATCACACAGCACTGTCTGTTCATACTTAAGAATGTTACATTCCTCGCCTTTTGAAAAAAGAAATTAGTTATTAAAAAAAAAAATAGAGGAAAACTTGATGTCACCAGTTCACTTACCTTCCCTCTCATAACCTTAGCTCAAACCAGCCCAAGTAGAGCCTTTCTTCCTCACTCTTACCTCCAGAAACCTGGAGGAGCTGCAAGCCTGAGATTTTAGTGAGTGCAATGGTCATCAACCCTTTGCTGCCCATAAAAATCACCTGGGGGAACCTTGAAAAATATCATGCACAGCTACAACCCTTCTAGAGACTCTGATTTACTTGGCCTGTGGGGTAGAGTCTGGGCTGCTCAGGTTTTTGCACTAAAAGTCAAGCAGTCTGGGAAACCAGGCTAGGGCAAATGGGGAACAGCTGGTCACCTCAGACCTACTCATCAGGTTAGGTTCATGGTTTGTTTTTTCCGTTTAAAAGTTTCCCAGGAGATTTTAAAGTGTAGCCAGGTAAAGAACCACTGCTAGCTTAGGTCTCAAAGACCAAGGATCTGCCTACATTTTAAACACTCTATTTCCTGTGTTTGGCTCAGTGTTTGACGTAGTATGTCTCATTATGCATGTAGTAGATTGTCTCAAAGTTGTTGGCTTCATGGGAGTCATTAAATATGTGTTGAATAAATGAGTGAAATTAAAGAAATCTGATGGTTCCAGAAATGTAGCATACTAAAATTTACTGTGCGAATGAGACAATATCAATTATGCCGAAAAGCATCTGGATGAAGAAAATGAAAAACCATGGTTAGAATAAACCATATATGGTACATCATACAACGGAATATTACTCAGCAACAAAAAGAAATGAACTAATCCCACATGTAACAACACGGAGGAATCTTAAAAGCATTATGCTAAGTGAAAGAAGTCAGACGCAAAAGGCTGCAAGTTATATGATTCCATTTAGATGATATTCTGGCAAAAAAACAAAACAAATCAGTGGCTGCCAGGAGCTGGAAGTGGGTGGGTGGAGGGAGACCACCACCAAAGGGCACAAAGGAACTTTTTGGGGCGATGGAAACATTCTGTATGTTGATTGTGGTGGTAGTTACACAATTTTATACATTTGTCAAAACTCACAGAACAGTATAAGAAGGATGAACTTTACTGTATAGCAACTGTACCTCAATACCTGACATTAAAAAAAAATGTGACCTAGGTAGATAAAATAACAGGTGTTTTCCCCACCCTGAGTAATGAGTACTGATTTCCCAGACGGACCGCTAAACTTGCTAAGAAGTACATTTGTTATACAATGGAATGTTATTCAACCTTAAAAAAGAAAAATCCTGTCATTTCCAACAACACAGATGAACCTGGAGAGAATTATGCTAAGTGAAATAAGCCAGGCAGAGAAAGACAAATATTAAATGATATCACTTCTATGTGGAATCTTAAAAACAAAAAAAGTTCAACTCAGAGGAACAGAGTAGAAAAGTAGTTGCCAGGGAATGGGGGTGAGGAGGGGGTGGAAGAAAAGGGGAAAGTTGGTAAAAGGGTACAAACTTTTAGTTATAAAGTATACAGGGTGTGAGGATCTACAGTTGACAACACTATCGTATAGCTGAACTTTACTAAGAGTAGAATTATTACTAAATAAACAAAGGTAAATATGTGAAGTGATGGTTATGTTAAATAACCTGATGGTGGGAATCCTTTCACAAAATATATGTATATCAAATCATTTTAAATATCTTATAATTTGTCAGTTATATCTCAATAAAGCTGGAAAAAGAAAAAGAAGAACCTTTCTAGAGGTTTCCCCAGAGACTGTGGCTGGTGCAGAACATACCAGTCCCTCTCCTGGGATGGCACCTCACCTGTGCTTCCAACAGCCTGTGCTGTCGAGAGAACTTAAGGCTTTCCACAATATTTGGGGGGCCCTGCACAGAATAGGAGGCAGTGTGGTGGAGCAGACAGACCTGGGCTAGTTTACAACCCTAACTGTGTCACAAACGAATCATGTGTCTTAGTCAAGGACTGTACTGGCTCCTAACTTAGGCTTCCCTACTCATTCACTGGTAACCGCCTACTTCCCAGAGTTGGTATAAACTTAACAACTCATGTTTCAAACCACGCACCACTTCAAAGATATGGAGCATCCACCAGCCGGCCCAGCAGTGAGCCAGGTATTACTGGAGATATTACGATGCATGGCTTCCTTCTCTCCCTCAAGCTCTTGACCCAGGAGGGAACCATGAGAAATATGTAACCAGTAAATGACAGCACAAAGCTGTGTGCAGAGCCCAGGGAGCACAGCAGGAAACAGCTCCATGGGCCTTCAGGGAGAGGCCACTGTCCTGGGAGGCTGGATTGGAGGTCCTACAGACAGAAATGCGGAGCAGAGGAGCAGACTACCGCTAAGGCGTGGGCAGCAGAGGGGACTGTGAGCCAAAGCTGACAGCACAGGGGGCACGTGCTAGGAAAGGCATAGCGAAGAGGCTCCAGATGTAGGCTGAGGCCGACCCGGGGAGGCCCCGAGACAGCGTATGGCTGAGGAGCTTCGTGGAAGGTTTCTGAGCGGAGAAGGAACAAGACAGAAGGGACTGGACAAGCTGGTCAGTCTGCTGTGGGGCTTCTGAAATAATCCCAGGACACATTAATAATGGGGCATAGAAGGAGAAGGACAGATGCGAGAGCGATGAGATGTGACAAGTGACTGGAAAGGGGAGACAGAAGAAAAAAGGAAGGAAAAGCTATATTGTCCATTCCCTGTCTTCATTAGGACAACCACACTAAACACCAATGGAAAAGCAGTGAGAACCGGGAGAGTTCAAAGGACACCAAAGCCGCTCCAGTGGGTTGTCTCACTCCCCACAGACCAAGCTCACTAAGACGGTCCAAGCTTCCACGTCCCTGGACAGGTGCCACGCACTCCCCTGGGCGCTCTGTTCTGTGAGAGGAGGCTCCTGTCACAGGGAGGAGGCCCGCAGCCATCCTCACCTGAGAATGAGGTGTTCCAGCACCCGCCAGCCTCACCTTGTTCTTGGCAAGCACGTTGGCTCCTGCTTTAACGAGGAGCTTGACGGACTGGCTAAAACCATGCCAGGACGCTTCGTGCAGAGCCGTATTCCCGTCCTGAGGAGCACACACACAGGGAGGAAGCACGTTACCCAAGACCTCACTCGTCCCACCATAGTAGGTCAGAGTGTGTTTTTAGGGCACACCTCTGGGCCCTATGCAATTGGGGTTTCTCATCTGAACCACAGAGCCCAGAAAATGACTTGAGTGGCCAGTTTCTCCATTCTCCCAGAAATGGTACATAACAGTACCGTTCTAGATGCATCCTGGATTCATGATGTACAATGGATGCCTTCAGCATTCGGACTTAAATCTCTCTGGGAACCCCAGCTGAGAAAGGCACAGCCACATTTAACAGGAAGCAACGTCAGGAATGACGTCCATTTCTTCCCACCCTCATCACCCCTTGGGCTCTGCTCTGCTCCTGGACCCAGACAGAAACCTACAAAGATTGGGCAAATGAAGAATCCAGCTTCATAAATCTCAGGGCCCAAGGACCAGATAGGTAGATTCTCCCCTTTTTCTTCCCCAAATTTTAATCTCACTCAGCTTAATCCAAAAGCTTCAAGGCCCCAAACAAATGAGCAGGCACTAAGAAACAGTGATTTGCAAATAAGAAAAATAAATGTCTTCAATATGTGGCTTTTAAATAAAAAAGCAGCCAATTAAATATAGCTTGTATTTGCTTATTATTTTAAAAAAGAAATATTAAGTTCAATGAATTGAGTGGGTTGGGCATGAAGGGAAGGGGTTTGGAGAGGGGAGCCAGGGAGGAGAGGTAGTAATGCTCTCCACACTGTTCCAGGCCAGGCTGCAGGACAGTCAGCTGGGGGCAGGACAGGTGAATTCTCCAGTTACATCTAGGGTCTGGTTTAGACTTTCACTCACCCACATCAAGAGACAAGGCCTAATGCTGCTGACACCCACAAGGAGAAGTCTAGGGGTCTCAAAGCTCATGGTATCTAAAGCCAGGGAGTGGGGCATGCTGGGAATGGGCGTGGCAATGTGCGGCCCCAGCCAGTGAGACTGACTGCACCAACCTGGAAGCAGAAGGGAAAGTGACTGGAAGCGGGTACCAGGGTGCTAGCAACAATCTGCTGCTTGATCTGGGTGCTCACACAGATGTGCTCAGGCAGTGAAAACTCACTGAGCTGCACTTAGTAAGTATCTGTGCACTTTTCTGTATATATATATGTTAATAAAAAGTTGTTTAAAAAGTAAACAGACTGAATTATACTTATCTGCAAAGTTCCATGTTTTAATATCGTTTGACAATTTAAAAATATTGGGTTAATATATATCAATATATTATTGGGATTTCTTAAGGAATTGATTTTGCTTATTTTTTTTTTTTCTTTCAATATAGTTTTAAAAATTTGCTCACTTATCAAAATAAAAAGGAAACAGTCTGGGGAGTGGAGGTGTGGCACACACGCCTTCCCCCATCCAGCCTCCACAAGTCATTACTTCTAGACTTTTATTTCTTTACTAGTTATATTTATGTGGTTGCCTACTCTTCCAAAGAAGAGGGGAAGGGGAGGGGATTTTTTTTTTTTAAAGTAAACAGACTGAATTATACTTATCTGCAAAGTTCCATGTTTTAATATCGTTTGACAATTTAAAAATATTGGGTTAATATATATCAATATATTATTGGGATTTCTTAAGGAATTGATTTTGCTTATTTTTTTTTTCTTTCAATATAGTTTTAAAAATTTGCTCACTTATCAAAAGAAAAAGGAAACAGTCTGGGGAGTGGAGGTGTGGCACACACGCCTTCCCCCATCCAGCCTCCACAAGTCATTACTTCTAGACTTTTATTTCTTTACTAGTTATATTTATGTGGTTGCCTACTCTTCCAAAGATGAGGGGAAGGGGAGGGGATTTTTTTTTTTTAATTACTGGGATATCAGATACTCTTTCAAAGTAAATTTGGGCAGATTTCATCATGTTAAATCATGGGTGATAAGACTCAGGAAAGATAACATCTTGCAAGTGGTCCCACTTCACCTTGTCTTGTCGGTCCAGGGCACAGCCCTCCTGGATAAGCGCTGCAATGACCTCGGTGTTCCCCACCACTGTGGCCCGGTGCAAGGCGGTCTGATCCCCCTGCAGAATGACACAAAGGCAGGAACAGGGGTCAGCTCTCCCCGTCACCCCCGCAGCATTCACTTGCCCACCCACTGACACAGGCCATCTCCCACATGAAGCAGACTGGTCACTGTGGCCTAGGCGCACTTTGCAGTCTGGTTAGTAGATAATGCATGCCAGGCAGAGCAATTTCGTTCAGTGAGAATCTTAAGCCAACTGCAGAATAGCCCTTGGCCACAGCGCTGTGCTCAGAATAAGGGTCAAGCATTCACCTGCTGCCTAGGGCGTGGCACTGTTTGGCTGGACTATGACTATCTATCTGAAGAGTGGGTCTGACAGCAGGGCTGTGTGTGCTGCTGTGCAGTTATATCAACAATGTCTGGAGCCTTCACATCCTACTGAGACCTTTCCTTCCCTGCTTTCAGAGAAATTATCATCCAGCTATGTCAGTGAGCAGCACTCATGATTTGATGGCAGGTGTATATTTGTTGACTGACTTGTACTGGCCAAGAGCAATGCAGGGGTTTATGCCATGACAGCTGAGGACTCCAGGGATGGCAAGCTATCACTGCACATCTCTAAGAAGCCTCTTCTGATGTTTCATGACAACACCATCACTGATTTATGCTGCATTCGACCCTCTTCCCTGCGATCAGATCCCTGGAACTGTAGACCTTCTCTTTCTCCGTCAGGGCGCCAAAGGGAACTTAACTCTCCTCTAATTGCATTTGAGAGAAGGACTAAATGTTCCCAGAGGTAAGATGGTCAAGACTGTAACGAGAGAGTTCTGAAGTTGCTAAGAGCATATACCTTATCTGACATGCACTCAGGAAGTCAAATCAAGTCATATCAAGACCAGCCTGGGGTCCAGGTTGGAATGGGGAGGTGGGTGATCGGTATGAAAATTTTCTGGTGAGAAAGAAGGAGCACAGGGCAAGGGGGTCAGGAGACATGAGTCAGGCACAGCCTTAGGAGACACCCGTCACCTCGATGTGCCTCAGGTCCTTCAGCTGTAAAGGGAGTGGGGGATGATCTGCAAGGGCCCTCCCTTCCCTTCTTGGGTTCCATGATTTGGCTGGCAAGAGTGGTGCGTAAATGAAGTTTCCTGGTGGAGCACCAGTGGGGCAAAGGGCATATACCCTGGGGCATCCCAGGTCCTCATCCGAAGAGAAGAGAGACTATTATAAAACAGAAAACGGAAATCTTTCAGAGGGATGCGTGGCTATCTATGAGTAACCCTAATGAAGTGCTGATTCTACTTACTAAACTCCCTGGAATCTTTAACAAACAACAGTGCACTTTAAAAGCACTTAATTGGAAAAAAAGTTCTGGAGATGGATGATGGCGATGATTGCATAACAATGTGAATGTACTTATTGCCACCGAATTGTATTGTTAAAATGGTAAATTTTGTTATGTACATTTTATCACAACAATAAAGTACTTAGTATCACTTAAAACTCAAATTTACTTTCTTAAAGTTAAAAATAATCTCCCTCTAAAAACCTACAAGAAGTGATTTTTATTTTCTTCCTTATACTTTTTAATACCTACTTTTTATATAGAACACTTGATTTTTAGCATCAAGGGAAAATGCTATTTATTAAAAGTCTAAGTTATAACAATATACCAGTAATGAAACTGTCCATGTCTCAGAATCTTTTTTCACTGTTCATTCACAGAATTTAAGAGGTTTCTGCAATGATGGGTCAAGACATCCGTTACCATGACTTTGTCCACTGCCTGCAGCATTTCTATCACCAACCCTACCCTTGGCATCCTAAGCTATTATTCCCATTATAAATTAGGTTTAGACTTGGTTTTCTCCACTTTCCCAGACCCTTTATTCAAAGTGGACCCTTTTTACGTGGCATGCAGGCAGAAGAGCGTAACCACTGGATCAGCAGCTGCCGGGGTGTGCCAAGCCATTACACACCTATTTCAAATATCTTATGAAATGCTTCCAGATGAGGTATACTTAATGCCCAAACAAGAAATTGCCCAAGTCTTAACTTTTTAAAACTTCCGTAAGAATTTCCAAGACTGCCCATCTCCCTATCAGAATGGTGATGGGTTTTCCCAAAACGAATCTCAAGTGCAATTTTTTATTACCGACCTGATGAGTAAGATGGTGCTCTGTTCTCAGCAAGTTTCAGGGTAAATACTGACTTGGTCAGATTTTTAATGATCAGAGGCCTTTTAACAATCCCACAAACTGCTGGCACGCTAGCACTCCTTGGACCAATCAGAACAACCTTTTTACATACAAAATTTAACCACTCTGTCGACAATGTACATAAAGTGTGAATGACAAGCCCCAGACACATGGGTCGTATCAGCCACTCTTGCTACACAAGTCATCACACAAAGGACCTCTGATCATTAGGGCACAGTCTACCCTGAGGCTTGCTTTAGGCCAAATGTTTTATCATGTTTCACAAACTGCCACTAAATCAGTAACTACGGCAGCTTTGGAGCCAGAATGTCACCATTATTTATTACTCGCTTTCAGCATGAATCTACTGTATTTACTTCCCTCGAGATAACCTTCCCTTGTGAAACTCTAGCTCAATTTAAGAAGCTAAGTCTAACTTTTAGTTCAGCCCCTAGGAGTCAATTTCCAGATGGATTATCAAGACTCAAAGAAATTTAACAACTTGTGTGAGGCTGAAGTAGAACACAAATTGTCCTCAGCCAACAGGCACAGGAGTTGCCTGCATCTCTTTCTCTGCAGAAAACTTTCAGCTGCACTGCCTGTGTCCAGGCAACAGCTCCCCCTCCATCTTTACCCACCCTCAGAGCCTAGATCCTTGCTTCATCGGTCGGATAAACACTGCTATGAGGGCCAAAGTCAGCCCATCTCCACCATAAGTGGCTGTCCTTTAACTAGACCATAATAGACCATAAGTTTCATTAATACTAGATGGGGTGGTTCTGGAGGCCTGAGTGAGACACTTGTGGCATATAAAAACCAGCCAGCCACCCTTCAGTTACCAAAAACAGAAATGAAGGCTCTGAAAGACCCAAAATGCATAGGCAGCAGGCTACTTATCTCAGCGCTATTCTTCCCCAGAACCCAACAGGATGACTTCAGACCCTCGACTGGGAAAGGGTCAGTTACCTGTGAATCGATTTGTCCTCCCATAAAATTAAAATCTACTGTCAAAATATTTCTTCTTTGAAATATGACACAGAAAAGAACAAAATGTGTCCTCAATACTTATTAACAGGCCCAATCAGCAACTTTGATGTAATCCTTATTTCCGTATGATTTAAATTAAACACGAAATTCTGAAACTTTGGAGAAATTTAAAAAAATAAAAAAGCTGGGAGAAGTACAGCACACTTAACAGCATTTACTCATTATTTATCCTGTGAATATTTATTGACACCCTACTATACTCCAAGTGCCACAGCATCTAATTCTCTCATTTTATTGATTTAAAAAAAAAAAAAGGCCCAGGGCAGTTCAGGGCCTAGCCTAGGATAACCAGCTAATAATTCGGGGTAGCATGGTTAGGCCAGAATTCAAATTGCCAAGGTTCTTTGCACTCATTCCTAGCCGTTTCCAATCTGTGAAGTCAATTAACCTAGGACAAGCCTTAAAAAGATCAGGTGCCTCTGTGGGGTTGGGGCTGCCTCTTCATAGTGTCATCAAGCTGAGTGGTTTAGCACAGTGCCGTGGTCATTGAGGGCCCAAAAAGCAGTTGCTGAATGATTAACTGCAAAAATGCAGAAGGGAAAATGCTGCAGCTGGAATCTTGAAGAACCAGCAGTTTGGCACTTTGAGAACATGTTGACCTGTTTGCAAAGTACATGAAGTGTCAGCTCTCAATTTCTCTAAGACATTGGTTTTTACTTTGCGATTTTAAGAGGTTTAGAATCTCTGAGGTCTAAATCTTTGTTCTGAAATACTTTTAGTATTCCCTATGTGGCAAAAAAAAAAAAAAGAGTGACCATACTACGGGGCAGATTCCAAAGCTAAGCTCATGGAATAAACCCCAGTCATGCAAGGGTGGAACATGCCCTTTAGGAGGGATCCCTCCCAGGTGACACAGGCAGCCATGCTGCAAGGAAGCTCAAGACAGGCTAGGTGCACAAAGCAAGCTGCTGACCTCTTTTTCTGTCTCTGATCTTCTAGGGTTCTTCCTAGCCTTTCTTCTCTGGTTTTTCTTATTTTTTTCTTCTTTCATGTCTTTTATCGTGGCCACAGGGTCCTGGACTATTTCTGAGGTGGGGGCTGTGTGATTGCTCATTGACCAATCAGAGATGGCATTAGAGCTCCAGTGAGAGTTGACGGGATTGGCGGGAAGCAAGAGGGAATTTGCTCCTGGAGTCGCATATTCTAAAGAACTGGTTTCCACAGGTTCAAATTCATAATAATCCCACTCCAGGCCACTGGATGTCATTCTTCAACTAATTCTCAGTCTTTAACATGACATAAAGAACAGTATCTGCAGAATATGAAGTTAGGGGTAAATGCTTCATAACATTAACATTCTCTATTTCTACCCATCATCCAAAACAGGTAACTTCTGAAATGATTTGTTTTTCCAATAAAGACTCTCCCAGCTTCTTTAAAGAACACCCATAAAGAGTTTTCTTCCTCAAATTCTTGCATAAGTTTCAAGGTTGATCATCAACAAGCATGGTAAATACATATAGACAGATATGAACCATATTCTGGCAAATGCATTACTCCAGAACTAGTGAAGATCCATTCCACCTTCTCCATTCTCACCTGTTTTTACACTGTTTTGTTGCTGTGTTCTTATTTTGTTTTGTTTTAAGATATTTGAGAGAAGCAATGTACTGTAAGATATCTGAGAGAAGCAATGTTCTGTTTAAGCAATGTACTTAAACAGAAGCATTATCTGTTTAAGGTAGAAAGATACAAGAAAATAAATACTAATTCTGATAACTGAAAGGTGTTTCTGTTAAAAATAGAGCTGGCTTTCCTTCTGCTGACATGGCTATGTTGACATGACTCCCCTTGATTACCTTGTGAGAACTCCTGCCTGTTTATCTTTCTGTCTTGTCTGATATAAACAGCAGTATTTTTACGAAGTCAGCAGGGCATCTGCTGCATAAGAACACAGTGACACTCAGACCTCAGGCAGGAGTACTGAGTTGAGATAGGTTAGCATGCCTGTCACTGCAGCCTTGCCACAGTGGCAGCAAGGGCTTTAATTATGCAAAGAGAAGACCAGATGTATCTCAACATGTGTGCACTGGCAACTCCACGCCCTGCCTTTTCTGTGGTCAAATCTCTTCTCTCCCCCTGTATATTTGTTCTTGTCATCTAAGGATATAATAGAATTGGGAATGTTATGATGGCTACAGCACAGGAAAATAAAGAAGTATTATGACCCAAGGTAGAAATCAATAGCTTAAAGCTAAATCAGCATCTTTCGGAAATGACATTCTTGATGACCCAACAAGTTCCAAATATAACCAGAGATTTATGAATGACCCTGGACAGCCTTCTGCCCATCATAGTACAAAGACATATTTAGTTATTTCTTTGTAAATGCTGACATGGCTATGAGATTCTCACTTGTGTGTGTGCCAAGTTTTAGAACATTACAGAGGCCCAAAGAAAACTAGAAGCACTTGGTAACACACACCCTCGCATACCTGAGGGTCTGAAATTTGAGAACACTCTGTAATCACAGTTATTAAAGGTGAACCTGGAAGAGGTTATAAGTGCAAACTCTCCTAGATTCCGTTTCTCACAAAAGTGCTTACTTCTTAGAGTACTACCACACAAATTAGAATTAGAAACAGAATTAGAAAAAGTTTCCAATCACATTATCACAGGACTTTTTCCTAATGGTTAATTGCAGGACAATTCATGTAACCCTTTCTATATCTGCTTCTTAAAGAAGTCACCTTTCCCAAAGATCTAATAGGGCACCCCAGGTATCACATGACCCCACCCACCACTGCTGATTGGCTCAGGAATCACCCCACCCCAAAGAAGCCAACTGGAGTCTCTCTTTAGATAATCTGAATGAAGAGACTCAGAAGCTGAGTGTTAATAATGGTAGAGCACCAGAATGATTTTTTTCTGGAAGCTTTCTTTTTCTTAGATTTCATGAGATCAATTTTATTTTCTTTGAATATGTTATTTTAAACTATATGTACACTGACTAAAATAGAGGTGAGAAGAGGAATAGAATTAAGTTTTTAAGCCCCATCTTTTTTCCATGAGTAAGCTTGATCAGCAACACACATTTCCATCAGGGCTTGCCCATAGAGTGAGTGAGTGAGTGGTGTGCTCCTTCATACTGAGAAAGAACACAGGTAAAATGCCCTCTGAGGTTCTGTACTTGAATGATACTAAATAGGAAATGAACCGTGATGAGAAAAAACACCCCACACTCCCAAACTTTAATTGAGGATGGGTCCCAGAGCAGGTCTTCAAGAGGAAGTTCTTCCCATCATGGGGACCGAGATGGAGATAAAAAGTGCTGGAGAGCATCTAATATCCTCCCACCTCATAGCTGGTTACAGGCTGTGTTGTGGATTTCTAGGCGGACAAGCTCCCCTGACAACCCATCCACTGATAGAAGGATGGCTTCTACTCACATCATCCTGGACATCGAGGTCGCAGCCAGCCTTCAGCAAGATCTGAACCACAGAAAGATGGCCCTTATTGGCAGCAAGATGCAGAGGGGTCCGGCCATGCTGTTAATGCAAAGTAAACACCGATTTCAAAACAGGATATCAAAACCACACCCCTGGAGCAAGGCTGCACAGAGGCACCACCCCCCACTCCCCTGCTTCGGTTTGGCAGGAGTGTCTTATGGATTTACTCAGAATTCAAGTTTATCTCAGTTAACTTTGGCTATTAGCACTGTAATCAATGAACAAAATATGCTCAAAATATGAAGATTTCCTTTCGTGCATAATTTCTACTCCCCACTCATCAAATTAATGAGTAGGAGAATGAGGGGTTTTATGTTTTTTCTTATTTCCCCCTGGTGCTAACACTCAGGGATGATGAAGTGGCCACACTAAATCTGATGGGGCAAGAGATAGGAGAACAAAAGGTCCAGTTAATCAGACCCACCAAAATCTGGTTAGTAATTACCCAAAATTGAAATTGCTCGACAAACTGATGAGAACTCGTTTTCCCCCTTTTAAAAATAAATTTTTAAATTAGAAAATATGTCAGCTATTCAAAAAGATAATATTTTAAAATGCATGTGCTCACTAATCTCTTTAAGAAAACATTAGAAAAACCATAGCTATTCTTTGTGAAAACCTCCCAGATTCCATTTCCCCTCCAAACCCACAGGTAACCACTCCTAAAATTTGGTATTTATCATTCCTTTGCCTTTTATTATACTTTACTGCATGTTTGCAGCCACGAACAATGTGTAAACATTGTTCTTCTCACCTATGTGTTTGCCAAGTTTTAGAACATTACACAGAGGCCCGAACAAAACGAATACTTAGCTTCAAACCTTACATAAATAGTATTCAACTCTTATCATCATTTGGCAATTATTTGTCCATTGTATTTTTCAGATTTTTTTTTTTTATATCGTCACATGCAGTTCCAATTCATTTATTCATCGTTCACCCATTCTCCTACTGATGGGCACGCAGGTTGTTTCCAGTGCTTTGCGAAACACAATTGTGTGAGCATCTCCTTGGGCACCCGAGAAGCCTTATTAGCCCTGTTGTTGGCTCTTTGAGATGACCCTTTCCTTCAACTGCCCTAAGCATGTGGCTCCTAAGGTAGGACACTGAGGGTGACATCCAGAATATAAGTCAACTTCTATCGAGAGAACTGACCTTGCCAAACTCTGAATTCTCCATTTTCAAAGGAGACATTATGTCCCCTTTGCTTTCTCCCTCAGAATCTCTGAAGACATTATTTCCACCCCATTTTTAAACATCATTTCACCAGGGCCCTGAGCCATACTGAAATATACCCTGAGGAATAAGAGTCTGATGCGGACTTAAGTCCTTTTTAGCATCTCAATAAAACTTCCAAAGACCTTTATTGATATTCTAGCAAGATAAACCCATTTATGATCTCAATAAAGTACCAGTCTGCCACAGCTAACTAGCCGGAGGAAAATAGACAATAAAGGATCTTAATTTCTACCCATGAAATGCAATCAAAGCACTAGAAAGACTCTGGAAAGAGGTCAGAGCTCACTTTAAAATTAGAATTCTTAAATAAGAAAAAGTTACTCCCGAGAAAGTGGGCCATAAAACGTCTTCATAAAAAGGCAACGTCTGAAATGAGAAGTGACTTTCCTTGGCTGGCAAATGTGCTCAGCGCATGCTACTTAACCTTGATTCTTTAAATGAAATGTCCACAGCTGATCAAATGGATCAGAATAACTGGGTCCCACTCACTGACCTGGTCCCAGGCTTCATCTGTCATCACGCGTCCTTGTCAAGGATATCAGATAAGTGACCTTCGCAAAATTTCTAAGGCATTCTAAACATAGGGAAGTTTATTACATGTGTGAGGAGAGGGATGAGGATCGTGGAATAAGCGCTTTTAAGCAACTGGAAAATACAGAGCATGATGGGGAGAAGTTGCCCGGAGAGAGGCTAGAAAAGACGCCCCACGCCAAAGAGTCACTGGGTGTTGGGGTCAGGAGAGCCCTGGGGAACCTCCTCGTTAGCTACTAGATGTTACTGGTGGGAAGTGAGGCCCAAGGAGGCAAAAATGTTTGTCCAAGTAAACACAAACAATCAGAAGTCAGGAGGAGGAAATACCGCTATGGTTCCGACCTGGTCACATCTGCAGGGCGCTTCATAAACTGTAAGTTACCTGACAGGATGGCCCTGGACTTGAGGCACCTTCCTAATCCAAAGTCAGCAGAGGATCCCCTTTGCGGAGAAAGGAAAGGCCAGAGGTGTCGGGGCCAGACGAGCCTCGTTTAAATCCCAGCTCTGACTAATAGCACCTGTGAGTTTTTGTGCACTACACTCTCCTAAGCCTGTTTTCTTGTCTGTAAAATAGAGATGGCCTCCGCTCCCCACCCTAAGGGCATGAAATAGGATAAATGAGATAACCCTCTAACATGTGTCCTCAGCCCAGAAAGCACCCCTACTGTTCCCTCTCCTCCTTGACACCCCCACACCTTGGGCTTCGCAAAAAGACCAGTGACATATTTTCTAAGGCAAAATGACCCGGGCAAAGATTTGGACCTCGAATCACTCAGATAGCCAGATGGGCCCTAGCAGCAGGGTCAAGGTACCTACCAGCAGCCAGTCCTGAGCCACTCGCCCACTTTCATTTTTGAAACACGGTCCACGGTACCGAGTCTCCATGTCTCTGCTGGAAGGACCTTCCTTACTGGGAACACCCTTCCTCAGTTCTCCCAAAAGAAATGTTCCTGGCCTTCTCTCCACCCCCGCAGCACTTCAGTTCCCTTTTAGGAAACTGCCACATTGTTTTGAGTGCCGCCCTGGGTGCTGGCTTCTGCTAACTAGGCTGTGACCCTTCTGAGAGTGGATTGTGCCTTCAGGGAATGATGAAGCAAGTTGACTATGGGATAGGGGGCGCTGGAGGGCACATCAAACAGGTTCCAGTGTTCCTCCACCACAGGGCAGGCTGAGGCTGCCAGGGAGGGACACTGCAGCAAACCCCACAGTCCCAGGCTTCACCTCAGAGACATGGAGAGCGTGGGGTGGCTTCCGACTTCAAGTTCTGGGATGCTCCGGCCCCTGAGAGGAGGTGCAGGCATCTTGGGGGCTTCACGAGCATTTGAGCGACTGCAAGAGTGACACTGGGGCTTCTAAGAAGAGGCTCAGTGTTCACTTCACGTGTCTGGCTTCTTTTCTGGCATCGGCACAGCAGCAGCCAAGGCAGTAATAACCAGTTTCTCACTGCACCTAAAGCTGTCCACTCCTGTCCCCTGGGCTTTCCTAATACAAGACCAAGCCCCTTAGATGACACACACACACACACCCATCACCATGCACCAAAGGAGGAGAGCAAGAAAGCACAAATGCATTTGGTTTTCCAGAACATTCTGTAATGAAAAACAAATGTGGAGCTACTAAGGGGAACAGCTGCTCCTGCCGAGCACACAGGTGTACTCCAAGGTCCTACCTGACTAATGGGAAAGGCAGGAACACCTTAAGTGTGAGGGAACGAATCAAAACTGATCCTTAGTGGGGTCTTTGAATGACTTAGACTCAAGGGTGCAACTGCTCTCACTCACCTCCACGCCCTTAGGATCGGCCAGTGAAAGAAATGGGAATAGGAGAAAAAACTATGTACTATGCGTGAAAGGAGGAAGATGTTTTAGAAGCATCAATTTTTTCTGGGTCCCATCCCAGTTGTCCTTAAAAACCAGTTCAACCCAACTCAACCCAGGCTCTGGTGGGCCCAGGGTGACCAATAATAATGACAAGAGCAAGAGACAGGAGCAGTTAACATTTAAAGGATTCTTACTACATGGTCGGCACTACCCTAAGAATTTTACACATATTAGTATCATTCAGTCCTCCCGATGACCCCATGAGGTAGGCACTATTATTAAGTCCATTTTACAGATGAAGAAACAGAGGTATGGATAGACTCTGTCACTTGTTCCATGTCATACAGCAGGTACCTCGAGTCTGGATTCACTCCTAAGCTGTCGGACCCCAGCCCCAATGGTCTGACACTCCTTTCCACTCTACCTGCTGCCAGCTTGTGCTGTGGGGGTGAGCCTGTCCCCTGGCAGAGGGGCTCTGTGTCTCACTCTCAGGAAGTTCCCAAGACTCCCAGATGCTGACCTCTGAAGGTGCTTGGAATCTCAAAGACGGAGAGAGGTTTACCAGTCTATCCGCCTATACTAATGCCTGAGCCCCGCCTCCAGAAGTTCTGCCTCAACTCTGTGGTGGAGCCCAGGCATCATATGCAATACAACCTCCCCCAGGTGATTCTAATGAGTGACCCCAGCTGAGAGCCACAGGGTAGGATGAAAAGGGGCCAGGGTAATTATCCTCGGAGCAGCTACAGGCCCTCGAGTGAAACCTGCCTTGTTGGGCATGTCCAAGCAAGAGTCATTCCTCTCACTACATTCTTTGTGATGCTCTCATCTGCACCTGTCAGTACAAAACACTAAGACACCGCATCACCACAATCTGGGAATAGAGCTTCTGGTATCTTAAAAGAGTATATAAGTGACATAATGACATTACTAAAAATGCAGAAGATAAAAGCAAATCACCTGTAATACTATCACCCAATAAAACTATTATTATTAATCTTTTTCAGTACATCTTTTCTATTGATGCTTTTATTATATTGATGTAGTTATATTCACAGGTCACATAAAACGATCTTGCTTTCAGCATTATTATGCCTTAAACCAGAGGTTCTCAAACTTTATCAGGCAGCAGAATCTGCTAGAGGGCTTGTTAACAGACACACTTCCAGAGTTTCTGATTCGGTAGGTCTGATGTAGAGACATAATTTGCATTTCTAACAAGTTTCCAGGAGGAGCAGATGCTGCTAGCATGGGGCCACATTGTGAGAGCTAGTGACAGAAACCACTGGTTTTCAACTCTGTTGCACATTACAGTCACCTGAAAAAATTTTTTTTTAAATCTCGAACTTTATCACCAAAGGGTTGAATTTTACCAGCCTAGGGTAGGGTCTGTTGTGGGCATTTTTAAAGTTCCAGGTGATTCTAATGTGCAGCCAGAGGTTATGAACTCCT